ATTAACATGTTGCTTGCTGCCTGACAGCTGCAGCAACCAGCTTACGAGTTTTGACAGTTTCATTTCTGTTTTGAAGAGACACAAAGTACTGAAAAACAAGTAAAGGAAAATGTCCTGACTCCCCACTAAGATATGTTAGGTTCATAGGCCACACAGGACATCAGTGTAACATGTAGGGATCTCAGCAAAGCAGCACCTGTGGCACCTGCATGACAGCTTCCCACAGGAGCTTAAGCTCCTTTGGGGAAATACTTTGGGAGTATTTTGCCATGATTGCTAGTTACAGTGTCTTTGCAGAAGGTTGTAGAGGATGAGGCAGTGCAGGCAAAGCCCCACTGAAAGTTTAGAGGCTTTGTACACCACTGTGTGTGAAACACACAGAGTGCCAGAGAGGTTATTAAGCAGAAGAACAAGGTTTTGCTTTCAGGCTTATAAGGCATGTGGCTGTGCTTTAGAGCCAATTTTTGCCATCTACAGGTGGTTACTTAAAGCCTGTATAATCTAAGCTGGAGGGGAAGGAGGTTTACCAGTACCTAGTCAGGCAAACTCCCATCCCTGAAGGCTTTACAGCCTAATTCAGACAGGAACAAACAATTATGGACTTGGTTTCAAAGCAGGAAGTGGACTCAGCAATGGGGAGTGCTAAGCAGATGAAAAAACACTGTGATTTTTATAAGGATTCAGAGATTAAATAGATTAGACTGCTTCTCCTGGGCACTAAACATTTGAAATGTATTGGGAAACTGAAAAAGCACATAAACACATATTATGAAACATCAGTGTCTGCCCAGTTGCAGCACTTGGTAGCTTTCAGCATAGACTAGGTAACAATTAATCTACAAGACTATGATCTCTTAGTGCTTTTATTTTTGCAGAAACCTACATAGCTCATGCCATCATCAGAGGACAGTTACAATACATAAATGTCAGAGGCCAATGTGAAAGCACCTCAGCAAGATAATAAAAATTATTGACAGGTAATGGGTAACTGATTTCTTCTTCTCCCTCTTTTAGAGAGTTACAATAAAGAATGTACAATAATGTACAATAAGCATCCCAATTGTGCTTATGGACTTTCTATATAATAAAATACAGAAATTAGATATATAAGATAGGGCACAGGATCCTTTCCTTGCACACAGAAAACAGACATCAGTTATGTCTATAGGATTTGTGCCAGAGACAGAAGCAGGGAATTAGTTATCCTGTGATTTCTAACTCTGCTGCTGATTTCTAAGGTACTAAACTATTTCTGTTTTAAAATACTCAACAGTAAGAAATTATCCTCATTTTGCTGGCATGAATCTGAAGCAATGTCATTATCAGTGGTATGGGGTCAGCAAGCAGCATCTCTCCTTAGTTATGGGTGAGTAACTACACTGGAACAAATGAGTTAATATTAACTAATTGGCAACAGAAAGATGGTTCTCTTCCAAACAACTACAAACAAAGATTGATAAAAATCAACAAGATTTAATATCATCCACAACTTCAATTATGTTCTAATGCTCCTAAAGTAAGTGAAAGGCATTTACATGCCAACCCCCCCTAAATGTTTCCAGTTATGACTGAAGCAAGCTTGACTCTTCACATCACCCCATTAAATCAACAGCATTGAACAGGCTGTTGTACTACAAACAGTATAAAAACAGGACAAAGTTAAAAAATGCAAACTAAACATGAATCCCAACCCAGAGCCCTCTAGTCTGTAGCCTAGGGTTACATTAATTTTGACCTGCTGCTGAGGTCTGTGCTTTGCCAATCTCCTGCATTTGCACTCACAACAAGGTGTGACTCAGTTCCAGCTCCATGTACCAACTTTTCCTCTCCCGTATCCCCAGGGGGAAATGTGGTGCTCTCAGCTGTGCTGCTCTGCTGATCCCAGACCTTGCCTTCAGCAACAGAAGGCAGACGATTTTTAGCCATGGCAAAGACCCAACTGGCTGAAGACTTCTGCTTGGCCTTGGAAAAACAGCCAATTATCCAGGCATCCTGAAATATCCAACTATGCTACCACTGCTTTGATACTTCCAACTATGTCATCTGGAATAAAGTCACAGGCCTTTTCTTGTTTAAAAAAGAAAAGAAACTTTAACTAGATATCAGCACTCAGTTGGGGGAGGGGGTGATACCTGCTGGTTGGTGAATAAATTGTTTTTTACATTTGATGTCTCCTGGTGATGTTGAACAACAGCAATATTGGAATTTGTGCAGACAAACAAACTTTCCTGATTTCCAAAGAACTGCCTCTTATTGTGAATTCTTGGAGACAGTACCCAACCTTAACAGTTCTGCTCCTCTTCAAATTCCCTTTGCTCAGTCACTTTAGATTGGTCTCTGTGGGTCACATATAATTGAAAATGTGAGCAGTAGCTGGGAGCAATTAGCAGTCCCTGTGCTGAAGGGAAAATTCAGGTAAAAAAGACAGAAACAGGTACAGCTTGCTCAAAACAGACATTTTCTCCTAACTTACACAGCCTGTTGCACACCAAATTATCAAATCATAACCAAGGATCACTTCTGTCTTCTGCTACAAGGCAGAAGCAGCCCAGAAACATAATGAACTGGAGTGTCATCAGGACATCACTGACACAAAGATTAACCCTTTCCCAACTAAATTATATACCAGCTTTTCTTGAAATAGTTCTTACAGTCTAGGGGAAGATTTGATTTTAAGGACAGTGCAACCACTCCCTTTAACACTACTGTGATATAGTGAGAAAGAAAGCTGTAGAACAGACTGCTTAGGACTTCCTTTCCCACTTCAGCTGTCCTTTGAAAGTGCCCTTCACTCACAAACTGGTGAATCCTCATTTAATCTCCTGCTCAGTGGGATCCAGTCAAAGGGCAGCTCCTCCTCCCCTCCTGGAGAGAGCAGTGCCGCAAAGTCAGTGAGCTGGAGGGCCATCAGGGGAAGGGAATTTGTGACCTCCTGGCTCTAGGCTATGAGTTTGACCAACTGAGCCATGCCCAAATAATCTCTCAGTTAATTTTTTCACAGACTTAACTGAATCAGCAAGTCCCAGCTACAGGTAAAACTACTTTGAGCATATTCCCAGGTATATATTTAGCCTAGCTCATGTGGATACTCAAGTGCAGGTACCTTTCTTAAATTCAGGAATGCTGATATCCTCAAACTACTGACAGAGAGAGCATGCCTTTCCTGGGCTGCATCATGGTGCTGAGAGCCTCGTTTACACAGGCATCAGAAAATACTCATACACAGAATGAGTATTCTGTGCATGAGAATCCAGAACCAGTGCCCCCACTTAATACAGCTGTGCACATGCAATGGATGGCAGAACAGGAATACACCTGCAGTGTCCTGCTGTGACAGCTGTCACCCAAAGGTCCCACTGCAACAGCTGATGTCTCATTCTGAAGCTGCTTGGAAAACATGGCAAATCAAAGCCACACTATGTGCAGCACAGCAGCTACTTGCTGAGCACAGCACAGCTCAATTATTCTACAGAGAAGTGCCAGAACTCCCACCTCTCATTCCTGGTTTGAGTTTATCTTTTCCTGCTTTTCCCTGGGAGGCACCTCATGCAAATCCTGAAGAACCTTTCCACACCACAAGAATACAGAGGCATAAAGCACGGTGTTTTCAACATCAGTCTTGACCTCTGTAAAACCCACCAGCCCCACAAGGTCAGTGAATTGTGAGAGGCATTGAAAACAATGCCAGGGACAATCTGGAAAGGTCCTGCTAGAAATGTTAGTTCTGGAGGATTCTCAGACAAAAAATACAAAGGGCACTGAGTCAAGGTGAGCTGAGAAGCATGCAAGCAGGAAAACTTGCCAATAAAAGGCACTCCTTCAGAACATAATGTTTTGTCTGACTGCTTTATCAGAAAATCAATTTACAACAGCTTCTTACTACTCTGAACTGAAAAAGACAGAGGTGCAAAGGCTCTAAATCAAGAAGAGGAAGATAGGCAGAGTAGGGCAGCCCTCATTCACTAAAGCATTAAACATTTTCTACTTTTGCATTTTAGAGAAATCCAGACTGCTATTTTCTTTCCCTGAGAGTGTTTTTTGTTTGGCTGTTTTGATTTTCAAGCAGTACAATTTCTGCTACCCATGGTTAAAATAATCTTGTGTCAGTCACCCAATGCTCTGGAGCAGTCTGGTCTATTTTATTAATCTTTTCATGGCCAAATATCTTCAGAAATGCCTAAAACAGCTAATTTAGAATAATCCTGTTGTAGAGAAGAATAAATGCCTTAGATTTCAAACCAAGGACTTTGGTAACAAAACCATCACAGACTGATAGGGAAATTCTGGCAACACTTTCCAGAAGGTTTAGTTCAAACTTCCACCATGCATGAGGCAGATTAAAAGATCCAACTTGGAAATCAATCTACAATTATTAACTTTAAATGTAATTTGAATTGATCTACTTAAAATGTTTGTCCCTTTATTCTTGCTTTACTTCAGAATATTTTCAGCTTCATATATATGAGTTCTCTCACAAAAAGGAAAATGCAATTTGCCCCTCCCTTTGCTTCCTCCTCTGCCACTGCAGCATGGCCTCTGTCCATTTTCTCCTGTTACTCACCAGTTCCCAATTTCAGCATTCAGTTTTCACACACAGTTCTGCTTGAACACAGCCTTTGTTTTCCCCAGTACATTTTGTATTCTTACCTGTACACAGAGGCAGCACGGTGCCCCCAGCATGCTCTAAAAAGTAATTAAATATGCACATTTTTCCTACAGTTCTCAACTTGCCAGAATAAGCAGGGAAATCCTGGGAAATTAACAAACAGTGGCATACCACTCCAGACAGCTCCAAGTCCATATAAATAGCTCTGACAGTCTCCACTTTTTTCCTCCTTGTTTCAGCATGTAAAAATCCTGTCTTTTCATGCCTGGGAGACGTAATACTGATTTGTTCCACTGTTGAGATGGTTCAACGCATTTGCCTGTTAAGCCTCACAGGTCCTACATTTCTTCAGCAGGTCCATATTGCTTTTCCAGTAGCTGGAAGGCTCACTCACCTCCTTGTGGGAATCCTTATGTGCTTCCAGTGTTTTCATGATAGTCAACTCCGCGTAGTTCTTAAACCTCGCTGGCTGGTTCCGCAGGATCTCCCGCAGGACTCGCAGTGCCAGGGCTCTGATTGAATGCTGTGTCAGGAAAAACAGACATTAGAAAAATAATAGAAAGAGTCACTTCCCAAAATTGTAGTTTGAAGTGAATTCTCATGGCTCATCAGAAATTTGCATGGTTCCCTACTCCACCAGCTCCAGTGGAGTGAGCAGTGGAATCAATGTAACAAAATTGAGAATTGGGCTCCTTGCTTGTTCTTGCACAAAAAGCCACATAAAATGACTGTTCTCACATATACAAGAATCTGAATGACTACTTTCCTAAATTCCATATTCTTTTGGCAATGAAGTACAAATTTGTACTCACAGGAGGACATCTACATTACATGATCACGTATGTTCTGCCTTTCCTCTTCTGCTTAGCTTGGCAGATATCAAACTGGGCTCCGTTCATGCCACAAAGCTGCTTTTCACGTACTAAAGCAGCACAACTGACTCTTCCTGTAACTCCTATGGAAATTACTTTCAAGGACTTAAGTTACTGTAGTCAACACTGACCTATGTCTTCATCCTTCATATCAAAAGATCATGGGCAGAGGGAATTTATAACACTGTTTCAATTTCATAACTTACATTAAATTTTTGACCTGTGCCCACTCCAAATAGATGTCATTATTTCCGCAGAGGAATACATACTTCATCCTCTTCAGCCTTTAAAATATGTGCTTTGCTATTCATCTGCAAAATTCATACAGTAGCACAATTCACGTGTACTTAAGACAAAGTCACCAGACCTTCTGACATTTTTCTGATGGTGCTATCATTAAACATGTAGAACTAGAGCAGTTCATGCTTAAACTAAGAACAATGACTGAGAAAATGTCAGGAACCTACCCTGCTTCAGAATTAACATTTCTGAGAGTATGATATATGTTTTACAAGGAGTATAAGAAATACAACAGATTTTTAAATCTGTGAGTGCTTCGAAGCCTCAATACTGTAATGTTCAGATGGAGCATGGCCCTGATGTGAAGGTGCAGTGGGGTGTTGAGCCTTTACTAAATATCATTATGCTGCAGGCTGAACAAATATCCCCAAATGGAAAAAAGCCTAGCCTATACATTACCACTTTGATCAACTACCAAACATAAGGCTGTGATAATAATATAGTTTTTTTAACATTTCAAAACAAGATCCCTTATAAAAGCAGCTTGCTCTTGATGACATTTTTACAAGAGACAGACTCATCCCATGAGATCTAATATCCTGGGTCTTTAAACCATCCAGGGAAAAAAATTAATTTATTCTAGAATGCCTTTATTCTCCTTGTTGGGAATGGGTATAATATAGCTAAGAGCTTGTAACTTCATCATAACTCAGAAGAGAGTAAAGTCTTGACAGTTTTTTACTGAACTAGAACTTCTTTTCTGATTCTTGTTCAATTTCCTTGCTATTTATTAGTAACTCTGGAGGGAGGGGGAAAAACTGGGACATTTTGGAGTAACTTAAAACTCATCACTGAACAGAGTGAAAACTAAAGTAGAGTTGTCAACCTTCAAAAGAAAAAATAAGCAATATCACTGATGAGTGGCAGGTTTCATTTAAACTGGTGTGTAGGAATTATTACCCAAGATGAAGCAATGGACAGGAGAGTTAAGACAAAATCTACAGCTCACATCTTTGTCTCCAAGTGTTTCCAGCAGCAAGAGCAGAATGGTTTTGAAATGCTCCTCCCAAACTCCAAGATTATCTTCCCTCGTGATCTTTAGCAATTCCAGGAGAGCTCCTTTCCGCTCCTCCACGCGCTCATTGTGGTTGGAGAGCTCTTTCAGAAGATCAGCCACCAAATCCGAATGGTCAATGGGTACTTCTAGGACAAACGGCAGCAAATCATTTGGAGAAACAGGGAAAAGATCAAAGGTGCCAAGACTGCTCGCCCTCTATGGAATAAAGTTCATGTAATAAGGGGACCCCCAAAAATGCATCCACTTCTGGGTGGTCTCACTCAAGCAGGCAACAGAATCAGACTAGCCCACAATTTAACCTGAGTTCATAGCATGGCTCATGCATCTGCACATGGCTTCCAACGAACCAGGAAGAGATGACAATTGGATTTCTTCCAGTTCCAACAATTACTTCTACAAGATGAGAATTGCCGTGGTTTTTCCCAGACATACACACCCAAAACCAATGGTCACATGTATGACCTTTAGATTAAAGTACAGTGACTCATCAGTGTACTGCAAAAGAATAAAGCTGATGTGTAGCTGCACTTAAATGAAGTCAAACACTCAATAACAACAAGCTGTTGAGTGAGGCATTTCAGCCACGAAGAGGGGAAGGTCCCAAAGCAGTGTCCCTACAGATGCATGCGGATGCTTAAGGGAGTAGTTTACAGGAAACCCCAGGCAAACAAGAATCAAAACCGCAGTATAACATTTTTTCTCAGTAGCCACAGATGAGGTTCTGCTGGGACTTGAGAACAAAGGGTATTTCATCCCAAGCCTCGACTCAGATGCAGTGTAATACACAACACATGCGCAGGCAGGCACGTATCTGAGGGCACTACCCTCAGATTTGTGTACACAAATACACCAGGGAGGCAGCGAGCCGCCCGCAGCGCTACGAGGTGAGCGGATACAAACCATCCCGAAGCTGATCCATGTCGTCATCGAACACTGCTTCCTTCAGGGCGGTCTTGTCGTAAGTGTTGATGGTGTCAGCGTAAGGATAGGGGTTGTACTCCCGAGCGCGGGGCCCTGAAAAGGCGCGGGGAGGCTGCGTGTTCAGGAGAGAGGTTTTGTTATCCAGAGCCATCCTTCCGCCCTCCACAATGTCACTGCCTCCACGGACATCGCCACTAGGGAGAGCAAGGCCACCATCCCGAGACACCTAGGGGAATCGAAGAGAGGGAAAAAAGGTATGTGCAAAATTCTATGGAAACTGTGGCATTTTTGGAGTTCACCCACCAACAGGAAAAGGCACACATTTACATGTATTATTTATGCATAACACTTATGTAAAACTTTGATTATTACCTTTTTCCTTCACACAACTACACCTGCTCAAAAATATCTCATACTCACAGCTTCTGGAACCACTCTTGCAGCATAAGATACTGCATGAGCTGTGCACTTGGAGTGATCACAGGTCCTAAGCTGTGAGGGAAACCATCCATGCATTTCAAGAATTAACATTTCCCATTACAGACCTGACTACACACACTCTATGCAAAAGCCATCACTGAGCCATGCTGAGCCTGAGGAACACTAGCACTGTTTCCATCCTTCATGGCACTTGCACAGAAGCCCAGTGAGCACATTCCACAGGAGGCCAGAGTTCAAAGGAAGCCAAGGGAAACAGTCAGTGAAACCCCGTAATTAAGGTATAAGAAGGTAACAACCAATAAGCAGAAGATGCCTGCAAGAACACAGCAGGAATAACTGGATTTTGTGCACTAACAATCCACAGACAGGTTTGATCACAATGTTTTAAAATTTCACCTATCAGGGGACAGTAAACAACGGAATACTTACAATGTCACAGTCCTTCTTTCCATCACGTTTGATTGGCTCATTCAGGTCCTCTTGACTACGGAAACTAAATTTCTCAATCGCTTCTGTGACTCCACGAAGAGAGCTGTAGATTTCATCAGAGTTTAGGTTCTCCGTGTCATAATCCAGCATACTAAAGACCAAACGTATATGAAATGTTACAAATGAAACTGGAATCCGCTTCTGACTGTCAATAAAAACAAGCTGGAGACATATGGTTTGGAGTGCCCTTTCTAACAGTGACTTGTAACACAACATGGATGGAATCAAAGCAGAGTTCAGGTCTGAGCTGCCCCTCAAATGGGGCTAAAATGAGAACACATGAAAACAGGTCCGCTGTTTCTTACATTCAGTAAGTGTGCTACCTTCTGTAAACCAAAAAACCCTATCCCCAGTGTGGCAGGGTGTAATTTAAAAAGGAAAATAATATCAATCACTGTAAGAACTCAAATGGTTATGACAGCTGGTGGAAATGAAATCAGTGAAATTCAAGTTTAATGATATGTGAAACTATGACAGATTTAAATGGAAAGGAAAATGTAACTTGACATAAACCTTAGTCTAACATGGCCCATTTTAATTTATAAAGTAGTAAAACCTAACTCACTTGCACAGTGCCTTGATAAAAACAGCATTTCAGTATTTGGCCTAAGTTTGGGAATTCTCTCACTCAAACCTGACACTTTCTTGAAGTTTACCTGCTCTTCAGAAATTTCTCAGCAACATAAATCCTCAAAAGTTTTGGGGTTCCTTGAGGAGTTATCCAAAATAAAGTCCCATGATAAAATGCCTTACATGCAAGGGCAGATGGTATTAAAAGATAGGGCTAAAGAAAGTTCCTACAATCTTTGAGAAAAGAAAAAAGCATTATTGGCAGGGCTTGGCTCTATCTAGGAGAAGTTGAGTTTGCATGACAATCACTAAATTAATAGATCCAGCAAGAGAAAACAATTTCTGGCAGAGTCTCAGATCTCATTAGAGCCAGAAGCAAGTAGACTGAATCAGACATTTACATCAAGTTGTTTGTCAATAAATGGCAAGAAGTGGCTCCCTACAGTGGTGAATTACTATTTCATAACATTTTGGGAAGAATGACAGGATGGGCTTGGAGGCAGATGGCTGAACTGAGTTGTGCTCCTTTTCCACAAAAGAAAGATTCCCTATGAGGTGGGTGGGGGGAAAACCCAAACAAACAAACAAGAAAATCCCTTCTGAATTCTGCATACACAGCTGTTATTTTCAATGGAACCAAAAGCAGGATATTAAATATCTAGAACCACAGCTTTTTTTCTGGAAGAAACTTGGGGACTTCAAACAGAGGATAAGAAGGACTGCCCAATTCCTTTGGGATTAACACACTGAAAATAGCCATAATCCCTGGCTCCCAAGCAACGTGTTCGCACTACACTCAGAGAAGCATCAGCACCATGTATTTTGGAAAAGAAACCAAAGAACAATTCCCCAAACACTGTCTGGCAGACCAGGGAGAATGAGAAATCATTTAACAGACCAAGATCAGGAAACAAAAGCTGTTCATAAACGTACAGAAGTTGAAGTATTTAAGGCTTTCCAGACAGCTGAACAACAGTAATGCACTGTGATAGCTTTCCAGACAGAAGGCAAGGCAGTTTTTAGGTTCTTTAGAAGTACCAGTCAGGAATAGGAAAATCTTTGTTTCATACAATCTCAAAAATATACGTTTTGAGCTCAAGCATGTTGAATTCAAAGATCTTAAAGGGTTTTTCATACAACTTTGAAGTGGGCAATGAAACCACCATTTGAAAAGGTATACAAGTGACTGTACCTGGGTTCTCACACCAAGAGATGACATGACTTACCAAAGGCCACACAATTAAATCCATGGCAGAAAAACCAAGAAATAATCACAAATGTAATACTGACAATAAATCTGCTGAAGTCATCACTTCTTTCCTCAGAGATGAAGTCTGCCCTACACTGTCACCAAAGAACAATGAGAATACAGACTCTTCACTGCTAAAGGACTAAGGTGATTTCTCAGAGCCACCAATCTGAAACATCTGTCAAAGCACAAACCCACATTTTAATAAAAACCTAAAGAATCCAGTGATTTCATGTATCAGGAGTAAGCCTGTGTAGGAGGTCACATTATGGCTGTGCTCTACATGAATGAAAAATCTACAATGTGAACACACGTCTCTACTGACAGTATGTGCACTGGAATACTTCACAGACAACACAATGGGGGAATAAAAGTAAAATGGAACTACACTCACCTTTCAGGAAAAAAAAAAGCACAAAAGGGAAAAGAAATTATGACCCATGCAGAAAACTAGAGGAAAGGCACAGGATGAATAAGAAGTGAGTAGAGATGAGCAGTGTTTAGGGATGTCACAACATTATTTTCCATCTGCTGCACAAAACCAATGCAGCTGTCTGTAAATCATGATACAATTTGGCAGTTTTCCAGTCTGGCATGACATACATTTTACTTCCATAAATTGTTATTCAGTTTCCAATCCAAACTATGTGTAAGTAGTCCACAGTTTAGTGTCTTCAAGCAGTACACACTAACTCACGTCCTTGCACTTTCAGGCTCTGGGCTGGAAAATATGTTACATTATTCCAAACCTTATTATCTGGCGTCAGATAAAAGAAGACAGAAAAAACACTCTCAACTACTTTTATTCCAAAAATCAACATGGATCCTCTCCACAGTGTCCTAGCAGAGTCAGAACATTAATTTAAAGTTTTTAATTCTGCAGGTATTCACAGAGGTACCTACCACTGCATTCTACTTTCTCTCTTAAGATATTAAGGTTCTCAAATTTTGAGCCCTGAAAGAAAAATTTCTTTGTTTTTCTTTCAATAGTTTTTCATTAGAACCTTTTGCTTTAAGGAAAGACTACATATAGTCCTTCCTCAGGTAGCAGACATATCTTAAGTCAGGAGAAACCACATTTATAGATGGTCTGTTGTCAGGGTTTAAACTTGAAAAAATCCAAATAATTTAACAAAGATCTGACAAATTAAATCTGCATTCAGTTTGGGGTTTTTTTCTTAAAACCAGCATACAGCTTTAGTGCAGTTTATTGATCCAAGAGCTGTATGCAGACTGGAACAACACGTGAGGGCACAGGAGGAGGAAGATGTTGAAACTGCGACTGATAAACTCAAAATCTGGTGGCAAGGTAAGGACAATATTAATTTCAATACTACAAATTTCCAAGATGTTCCACAACCACATTATACAAGCAAAGCTGTAGGTGAAGTCACTCCTGAGCTGCATGTGTCCATCTGGAGGTCTTCTAGTGCCACATGCACAGTGCAGCCAAACAGAAAGATCCTGCCCCTGGTATCGTAACACAACCAGTGCCTGCCAGAAGTGCTCAGCAGCTGTGTTCTGCATTGGAAACTGACTGTGAAGCATCCTCCCTGCCATCTTCTTGAATGGGTGAAAGAATCTGGAAAAATCCACTTTTTTTTTTATCCCCATTTGCATGCTGCATCTTCCCCAAGCAGCGAAGTGGCTGCCCGTCACCCCTGCTCTCTGAAAGTTATCATCATCCCTGTTCCTTTTCCAGCCAAAGCCTCTGCAAGTCCCACATTTGAACAAATCCCGTGGTGTGAAAGGTAAATAATACTGTGACATCTCAGACAAGTTGGTTTAACAGGTAGCTTGTTACCTGGGAGAGTAAGAGCGTCTGAAAGTCTTGTGGGAAGGAGCAGTGGGGATGGAGTTAGGCTGAGAAAGGGGAGGGGGGTGCTTCGACAGCCCATCTGCACTCCAACCCCAGAGCCGACTGCCGTGACCAGAGGAGAAACAAAAGAGAGAAAAAACAGAGAAAGAAGAGGGAGGAAAAAAAAAAGAAACTATAATCTGAGTGGCTTAGTGCTGTCATGCTGCCTTGGAGAGAGAAAAAAATTAATAGAAACAAAATTAAACAAGAATACTCCATTGCGCCTCACAAGTCTTTGTTTTGGTCTTTATTATTCATTTCCATTTTTATTCCTAACATAATATGATTCACAAAAAATCCAGTCCCTGCTTGTACTAACCAGTAGATTTTACAAATGGATATAGGCTCTATAAACAACTCCATTTATAATGTTCTACACAAACAATCCCTGGCCACACGTGTATCGGAACTCTAAGCAGGTGTTTCTAAGCAACAGGATTTTTCTGGAAGAAAGAAAAATTGGCATTTATTTTTTTATTAGACACCTGAAGGTACCTTGCAAAGTTTGTCTCCTGGTGCCTCTATAAAAGCCTGCAATCAGGCCCTACATAATCAGAAAACCTTTCCAGGCTTAAGATCTGATCCTGTTTCACCAGACTCAAACTGAACCCAAATATGCAGCAAGCGAAAAGTCAGTCTGGAGTGTAAATGTATCATGGGGACCTGGCCCAGGTCTCAGCAGACAAAGCTGGAAGGACTGGGTGAAACCAGCCTCTGAGTTGTTTCAGATTGCTCCTCAAACTTTCACAGGCCCTTTAAGTTATTGTATGACCCCGTGCCTTTGGGTCAAGACTTCCATTCCTGTGGCAGTTTGTCCAACCTCTGGTTTTGTCATTTTCCCATTAAGGTACATGGATTTTGAAAATCACCTTCCAAATGAGAACAGATGCTTGAGCTGGTGGAGTATTCACAACACTACTTTGTTTCTATTACATTTCAGCACATTGTCTGGGATAGTTGTATTTGTACATATGCAAGTGAAAGACACTTTCACATGAGAAGTGACAAACAAGTCAAGAATTGCTCCAGTGCAAACAGCAGCAAAGCCAGTTAAAAAACTCCTCTGAAGAGCAGTGTCAAGAATTTCACTCATTAACCAGCAACCAAATCCCACAGCTATTATAATGCCAGTATTATCAAGGAAATACTCCCAGTATTATCAAGGAAATACTCCAGACTCCCAGACTGCTGATCAGAAGTCTCACAGCTCAGGTGTCACCTACCTGAACACAGGCCACCAAACAATGCAGGCTTGTCTTTATTGTATAAAGTGAGTGGCTTATTTTAATTCTGTTTCCATGCCTTTGCTTGCTCAACTTAATACTGAAAGTGTCAATCAAATTTTGTTTTTACTGGTATTTTTTATTATCAGCGAAACAGCAAATATTTAAACTTAGATAGCCAGATAAAATTGTAGCCTTTTATTCTGATGCATTTCCTCTAAAGATCTTTGAAGGACTAAACGTTTCAGGGTTTTTTTTAAATTTTGGGTGATTTTTGTTTATTTGCTTTTAATAATAAAAACTAAGCACGGGTTTCTGGGCTACTAATAATGACAGAAATTCATTCCAAATGTATTCATTCAATTACTCCTACAAAATTCTACTAGGTGAAATTCCCAAACTGAATGTAACATTTAAGTTTGCAGAAGTTGATTTACCATTCAGAACAGTATTCTGACACCAAAGAACTTCACAATTTAGTGTTTGCCATTTTGTACTACAACATAATATATTAAATCTCTGAAGATTTCTCTATCCTACACAAACTCAAGCCATTTATCTGTGCTTTTCCTAGGAAACATTCTTCTCTTTCAGTCTGAAGTCTGGCAGTTTTTTCCAATTATTTTCAATCTTCCCAAATGCCCTTCCCTGTTTTCTTTTTCAGAAAGCACATCTCTCTTCCATAACTCCTCTCACCAAAAACTGAAACTGTTAAGGAAAAAAAAAAAAGCAGCTACAAATGGAGAAGTAACTCACAGATGCAGTGGATATGTTATAGTGACCATGAAGCAAAACTGGAGGGAGTAAATGAAGGCAGGAGGAAGGACTCTGTCCAAGACACTGAAGCATGCCACCCTCCTGAAGACTTTAGGGGATACTTAAGCAGATGTTATCATCTGGATAGGCAAATCAGTTGTTTGCAGAGTCCACTTCAATCAAAACATTCAAAATCTATCCATACAGCCCAAATATATGTACACATAAATACACAAACACACAACTCCCAAAATATCAGTTACTGGAATACATACATAATACAGTAAATCTGTATCAAGGAAACCTTGCTGACTGATGTTGAAGATATTACCCACAAACCATTAGCAATATGGGAGAGCAGCTATGTTTAGCAGCATTTTCATATTTCTATAGGACCCAATTATCCTTTCTACACATATCCCAGCTCCAAAGACATGCATGCCTCTGCATTTGACTCTAGTCTGTGAACCAAGAAAAAAAAATACAAGGAAAGCATGATTTTTAAAACCAAAGCTAGCATTAGAACTGGAGATAATCCTTCCACTGACTACACTCAGGCTGCCTGTACAAGACATGGGCAGGGACAAGGCAAGCAGGCCTGCACACAGAACACCCCAGGAGGCAATGGGAATACACAACATGACTACAAACCTTTGGCAGTAGGCCCCCTGAAAATGTAAGGCCAAGCCTACTTTTGGAGGAGAGCTACACAAAGAAACTGGGAATCTTTATCCTTTTACACTGCAATCAGAATGGCCTGGGTGTGCTTATGTTCTGAGTTTGTAGAGAGAAAAGTGACATTTCACAGCAAGGCTAAATAGCTAACGCCTAGCATTTGAAATGGAAACATGACACTGAAATACCTATACCAAAGAATGCAATACTGCAGCATACCCTACTTACCACTATCTGTCAGCACAGCTTTCAAAGCCTCTTCTCTCAAAGGACAACCAGAGCTAAATTCTCCCCTTAAGTCAGGACCATGCCCAAACTGTACACAAGACATTTTCAAGAATGATGCAGCCCAGCAGAGCTTCAGAAGCTACTGCCCCTGATTTGCAGTACTTGCCACTGCCTTTTCTACAAATGGCAAAAATATGCAGATACTGTTACAGCTCAGAGGGCACTCACAGCTTCTCCCTTCCAAATATTTTAAAGGGCTTTCGTTGCAGCTTCCACCTTCACCTATCACTGAAGAGTAACTTTTAAACATCACTCTTGAATAACTAAATCTAGCAAGGAAGCAGAACACACTTCTTGAAAAGACACTTTTTTGTTTTTTTTTTAAACACCTCCAACAACTCTATACAAAATGGAAGGAATGATTGTTTTCTAAAGGAAATTCCCGGGCAACTGCATCCATGGCAGAATGCTCTGGAATTATATGCCCTCTCAAACTAGTCCTTGAGAACAAATCACATATAGAAAAATCCTTCAGTTTCTAAATCCAAAATGCTAGAAAGCAACAGCAACAATGTACACTGGATGCTTTAATCAATACCTTGATATTTGCCTCCTGACATCAAGAGGTGAGAAGAATGCAAAGACAAATAGAAAATAGCGAGTGAAGTGGCAATAAACAATTGTATCCCAATGGCAAAACCCAAAAAGCATGGCAAAAGGTTGTGGAATTACAAAATAAGTGCCACATGCCAACATGGCCAACAAAACCACAACGTAACCACAGGGAGACACAGTCAGTAATTTCCCATGACAGAAATCAGCAGGGCAACAATGCTCAAGCTAGTCAAAAAGGAAGCAACATAGTTGGAACTGGTCCCCTGAAATTCTACCACTTAATTTCTTAATGAAACCTTTGTGGAAAAAACTCATAATAGGCAACTTGGCTTTGGCTTGCAAACTTTTGATTTAATTTTAAATTACAGCAGATTTAGAAGTCACAAAGATGCATCTAGATACCCAAAATTTTCTCAGGAAACACCAATGATTCCTATGCTGCTGGAGTTAGTATAATTATTCATTAAATGCTAAAGGCCTGTACTTTTCCTGACACACTGGAACTCACATGTCTTAAGCATCCCTTCAGAAAGAGTTTTGCAAGTAACATGGGTAGAGTAACAGATTTCAATGTAATGACTACACTGCACTATGAACTGCAGTCCTCACCCAACACGGCTCCTTATGCTTCTTCCACAACCTGTCATGAAGAGGACAGACAAGGGCAGCAGAATTTAAGCTTCTCCAGCATGAACCAGAGCTTGACCAGATAACAGCTTGCTGCTTTCCTCCAATATTTCTATGGGTCCCAGAACACACTGTCTGCAATGCCATCTCCCTACTCTTAAGTTTTAATGCTGCAAAACACCCACATTCCCAGCAGCCAAGAGTCTGTGTTGGCTGAATACAAGATTTTGAAGTGGACCAATATATTCTAGGGTAGCACCTGCAGCTTCAGCAAAACACCTGGTTGCAATAGACCTGCTGCTCAGAAGAACAGGCCACTGCTCTGCTGGTGAAGAGCCAGGTGAGCAATTTGGAAGGTATTCAGCAGTGAAACAGTCACCACCTCTGCCTGTCCTGCATCCTCACAAAGAATAAGAGTGGAACAGCAGATACAGCACTTCTCTCAGCAGCACAAGCCCTGTAATATAGTCAGAAGAATTACTGATTACAGGTCCACACCTAAAAAATGGCACAATCTGAAACTCCTGTTCTGAGAGTCATCACAAACTTTGTGACATATGCAATCTCAACAAGACCTTATTTCGAATGCTGCCAATTAATATTACCTTCATTATCCACAAATGTATTTCTGAAGAAGGCCACAAAAGAAAACTAATATGATAAGAAAAGATATTAAGATTACACAGACAGCATGAGGACTGGAACACTGAAGTCAATCACCAACAACATGTTATCATGTTCAAACACTGCTTCTTTGCAGAAACATACTGTAAACTTATTGTCTTGTTTCTGCTTTCAAAGTGAGTCATATTCTGCAAACGCACACTTGGTGTTGAAATCCTTTAGTATTTTGCAAGGGGTTTAATTAGCCTGCCACATTACCTTGGAGACAGTCCACCATGGGAACAGTTGGTAGGTGAAGTTAAGGGGCTGGTTCTGCTGCTGGAGTGCCGGGAAGGAGTCCGACCAAGGGTATTGCTGGGGGAGCCCTGACACAAAAGCAGGAAGACAGGGATTAGCAAAGTGTTGCAATGCACAGGCAGGAGTACAGCAACAGGTCCAAACACTGCCTCTGTTTGCTCTAGACAAGCTTAGTGCAGTTTTGATTATGCCTCTTGACCTAAAACTCTGCAGCCATGGTTCATGTAGCCATTAATATGCTCCTGAAAATATGACTGTGAGGATAAAGAAAGTGTATGTGCACTTCTCTACAACCCACAGTACCTGCAATTTAAATACACAACATGTATGGCCTGCAAATATTGCCAGAGAAATGGTCAATCAATCCAGCTTCTCAAACAAGACTTGCAAGGCTCCAAAATATGCTCATCATTACCCTGACAATTTAGTATTCTAATTACACAGCTATTTTCCACATTGTCTAAAGCATTCTGATTATGCTTGTTAGGAGCATAAGTAAGCAGTCCAACTTAGCATTTTTCCACTGGCCTGCACAATCTTTTGTACCACAGCAAAATGAGTAGAAATTGCTCTCAATTCTGACACTTTTCACATAGAGTCAAAAGTATTAGAGAATCCAGACCACTTGCCTGGAAGCCTCACACTGCAGTTCTAGCTTACACTAAATTCTACTTCGCCCTGTGGAAGTACAAAGATAGGAGGGCTCAAATTCCAGCAAGTTCACAAGATTTCCACATTAAAAAGACAAAAAAATTCCTTAATCCTTGCTGCTCTGGGAAGGGAAAGAAATTTCCTATTTAGATCTACCAACATATTGCTTCAGTGAAATAAAAATTCATATAAAAGCAAAACAAGGTAATGGGCATAGAGTGAGGTGACTCTGTAGGCCATATTAAAGATCCTGCAAACTTCTTAACAGACAGTGCAACTGTTATTAAACTGATCTCAATAACAGTCATAAGCCAGAAAATCTGTGGTATCAAGATCTGTTTTAGCCAAAAAGTCATTACTGGCAGGACTTTCAAAAGCACCACCAACTTGAAAGCACAAACCCCACCAATTTTAATGCATTTCTCAGTAATTTTTTAATCTCTTCTGGTTAGGACTATATTAAATTTTAAAATAACTGAGTTTTTCACTTTAATGGTCCCTATTAAAAGCAAAATCAAACAAAAGCCTCTGTTGTCATATTGTTTCAAGACAACAGTTACAGATAATTCAAACGGAACATCTGCAACAGCTTATCAATGAGCTGCTGTCTTTGGGGCTCTGCTGTTTGCAAGGACAAGGGCCTCTCACCACACTGGTGTTACTGGAGTTCTTGAGGTGGTTGTGCAGGAGCTTGGTAGCACCATCCTGGAATGTTTTTGGCAAGGCACCAAGTAACATGGTAAACTCAGGGGTGTTCAATTCAAAGAGAGAAATCAGGACTATTTGTGCTGCCTGAAAAGAAGAAGAAAAAAGAGACCATCAGTTTTTGTTCTTTGAAAAGAGCATGCGTTCTCTTGGTAGGATCCTTAGAGTAAATGTGTGTTTCATTCAAAAAGAAGATTCCCTTACCAGACACATCTTTGAAATGTTCTGTGCGATACATCATAATGAATTACTAACAGCAATAGTTAGCTTTAGTTCTTAAAGCTTAAATATATTTCTGCATTTATACCATTATTTTCCCAGATGTGAAGTGTACAGCTATTCACAGTCTCGTGAGAAACTCTTACCTTTGTCCTGTCCAGAACATATTTCAGTTGAACAAGTTACTGCAAAGATTTACTGAAAACAAATAAAAGTGGAAATTCAAACAAGTATGAAGACTCCGGGACTGCGATTTGTCATTCCTGTGCTTTTTATTTTATGTGTGAATGGGATGAGCTCTCTTCCCACCCAACCTCTTCTCTTCCTAGGGATCCCAAGTTTGTTTCATCAAACAGATAATCCACCTCTCCTTTTAAGTCTTGACCACTCAAGCTTTTTCAGCAATTAAAGACTCCATCTGAAATGGAAGACCTATGAGGATGGTGACAACCACCGTTCTCTCAACCATGGACCAGCTAGACTCCACCACATTTCCTAAATTTAGTAAATGAAACTGAGGTACCACAAACAATTGAGAATTCTATCATTAATTTTACTGGACAGGGTTTGTTTATGTGCCTCAGAGAAATCCTGCCAGAACAGGATCTCCCCAAGTCCATTAGCAAACACACCAATCTGCAAATCCTGAACCAAGACAATGGAATCAAATGGGAATGGAAGCAGAATAAATCACAGTGTGCAGACCTGAAAAAGTAATTAACATCACATGTTCCTAACCAGACTTCCCCAGCAGCATCCAACCTGTGTGGATGCACCAGTTCTGTGGGCTTTTTCTCTGACTTTACCTTGAAAGTATACAAACATCAATAAAAATAAAAATGAAGCTACGATGAAGGACCTCTGATAGTCTGCAGCAGCACTTTCTCCAAAAGAAAAGTGTAGCCATTGACACATCAGCTTCCAAAATACATATCTGGACACAAAGCAGTGGCTTGGGCTCACAAAGTTAAGAAGCAAAGCTACACATGCTCTTATTTTGGAAAAGCATACACACACGCTTAGGAGGAGCAGACACTTGGGTTTGACCCTTTCAGGAACTTTCTAAAATCTCCTAAAAATGAAAAATAACTTTGAAAAGGATATAAATGTAATTCACTGCTGTGGGGATAAATGTACATTCATCGTTCTCATCAATTTAATGAAGGATTTTTTTAGTAAGTAATGTGCTCACAAAGTTGCCATAATTAATTGGATCTGCAATTCCTTGTAGAGTGGAATTCTTCACACATTATGAACTTGGGTACACAAGCACCCTTCATAGTGGAGGGGAATCACAGTACCCCATTGTTTCAGTATGCAAACTGCAATGCAAGCTATACTGTTTCTTCTGCCATCAGCAGCATCCAGCACAGCTTTGTATATAAAAACATTTTCCATCCATGAAAGTTTGGTTGGTATCATCCTTTTCATATGGCCAACAAAGGAACCAAGGCCCACAACACTCAACAGGCTTCCAAGGACTGCAGCAAACAACAGGTCTTCAGACTTCATACCAGATGGATCATGCTGCCTCTCCTGCCAAAACTCTTACTGACTTGAACAGAAACACAGTATGTCATTATTCACTCCATTCTAAAGACCCAAGGATGAAAGAAGTGGGGAGATAGCTTTCCCCGTGACTTTCTCAACTCCATTGTCTACCCTCCTCTGACCTGAAGTTTTGGCAACTCTGCCATGAAGCCTGCCTGGTATCCAACAAGGAAGTGTATTTCTGTCCATTTTGAGCCAAGAACTTTTAAGCTTTCACCAGCACAGTATTTTCTGTAATAAAAACATTACTGCACACAAGAGATCTCAGAACAAGGAACAGCAAGTTGAACTGAATGCAAAGTGACAAGTCATGCCAACGTACATTCCCGCTGGTGAACAGCATGCGTATCCTCAATAGTTAGGAGTGGACATGCAGATCCTCTGTGTCAGAACAAGCAGATCTCACATTCATTGAGATTAAATAAAAACCAACAAAACCAAAAAACCCCAAACCAAACCCCACAAAAGTTGATCAACGAGGTTCGCATATTGAGAATTGCTTAGAGATTAGCGTATCTGGAGTTATCAACTGGTAAGTCAGGAGGTGCCCAACAGAGATGTTTGAAATGCATCTCAGAGATCTGAGAGAAACCTTCAGCAAAGCTCCCCCACAAACACTAATAACACAGACATTGTCCTACAGGAGTAGCTGAGAGAAGTTTCAGGTCTCAGAGGTCACAGCAGTTTTGTTCTGCTTTTGCTTTTTGACTTTAATAACAACAGAACTGTGTCTGCCTTCCCTCTTTGCACAAAATACAGCTTGTCTTTAGGGGTGTCTGCCAGAATTCTGTATACCCAGTGCTCTTCAGCAGCTTTCCTGTCACCTGTAAATAGTCACTAGGCTTTGAATGATGTGCTTAACAGTGGCTCCCAAAGCTCACAATCTTCTGTGGCCTCAAAGAAAACAGACCTATAGTCTGTGCCTTTTCAAGAGAAAGCCAAGGGCTACTACATCATGAGAGTGGTGCTCCAGTAAAGGTCTCAAAGAAAACATTTAGTAACATGGGTAAAACCCTGTGTTCTTTCTAAATTGTCCTCAGACATCCAACAGCACTTCCAGGTTTATTTCAGGCAAAAGTCATTATTTGAAAGCGTGCCCATAATTTCCTACTTAATATTTAATACACAAAGGTCTTGGTCCCTTACCACTGTAAGATCACTATTGTTACTTACTGGCCTCAAAAGCTGGAAGGTCCATGCTAGCTTGAAATCACATTTGTAACATGCTTCAAGTTTCACTCCTGAAATGCTTCTAACACAAGTAATTTTATTTCAGTAATGAAGAACATAAGGAGCAGCATTTCCACACCTGTCGTAATAGTTAGATATGGACACACTTGATTATCCTCTAAGTTTCATATTTTTACCTAATCCAAGGACATCTTCTACAGATAATGCTTCTAAGAATTTTAAATCTGTGGATTTTCAGCTTGTGACAAACCAGACATTTTCATAATCTCTGAATTTCTGGATGTCTTGCTTCATTACATTACTGTCAGAGTAAATAAATATAACAAGCAATAAAAAAAAAATTATTTCTGTACACAAGGCACAAACATTCTCCATGCAACACATCATGCTTGATGATATATAGTCTGAAGAAAGTCGTATCTGAATTTTCCCTTGCCTTTGTGTCCCTGTACCATTAGTACAGAACACTAATCCATCTCCTTCAGTGACATACAATGTAGACCCTACAAATGATCTAATCTTAATGAAGCCATTCTCTGCTGGCTTCAGCTGGAGAAACTCCAGTCACTTCAGAGCCTGACTATGCTAGAGAGGGGGTCTGGCCCAGTGTCAAGTTCTTGAATCATTTGCAAAGGATTGCTTATGTCACTTTGTTATTTTCCTTATCACAATGCAGTGAGAGATCAGGTTCCACAAGTCAGTAGCAGCTCCCGAAGTTTCACACTCAGGTCACTGCAATTGCTCCTGTCCAACAGTGTCAATTGCTAAAGGGACATAAATGCTTCAGCAATATCTGGTTTTTGTTTTTACCTAGATGGTGGATGACAGTCAGATTCATAAAAATCTGTAACTTTTTCAACTTGGCTGAATTATAATAAAATGTCTTGGAAATCTTTTGGGCTTATTGAGCAAACAGATCAAGGCTAAGTGGAAAAATCCATTGATTTGAGAAAGGAAATGTGGTCAGTGACCTAGGGTTAATACAAGTGCCTTATGACTGCTGCTGCTGCTCCAGTGGACCAAGCAGAACAAGCAGATAGTTGCCTGAGCTACGCTAAGGCAGTTTCCAAATTACTCAAACATCTATTGGTGATGGGCTCCCAACACTGGCAGCTCCATAAAAGAAGGGGACTTTGTACCCTGATCCTTTATGAGGAACTACAACAATAGAGTTAACAGAAAAACACATCAAAGCCAAAAATTACATCAGACAGACACACTTTTTTCAGGCTCCCAGTCCAGGTTTCTTTACACAGCTAGACAGTTGAGTTGAGACTGCAAACAAAATTAGTGTGATTAGTGCACAAGGCTTTCAGTCTACCTGTTTACATTTCTCTTCCAAGTTTCCTTCACCAGGCCCTGAGGAGGCTGTAGTTGTCCTAGCTGGCAAATCCTCACCCACCCAACTATGCATCGTCTGGGTTTGACAAACAGGAAAGTTGGTATTATTCAAAGAAAACACAGATTTCAACTCAATCACCTAAACAGTACACATGGTATCTTTTTGCAGAAGAATTTTGATCAATTTCTTGCTTCATTTCAAGTAATGGAAATTAATAAAAAAGCATTATTTGATATCATCAGAAGAGCATTCCTTTTGGGAGAGGGCAGCTGAAATTAAAATTCAAAATTAAATTCGACCACAGCTCTCAGGCTTACAGATCATCCCTTAGTTCTTCTACAAAGCATTGCTTTGGCAACCTCCTGGTGGCCTCCACAACCACTTGAAAACCTCAGCTGAGGTGCAGAGCCTAGGCAGTGCTGAACTGGGATGTCACTTGCATCTGGCCAGCCAGAAATGGGGGAATTGCATCTCCCTGCACCTGCCCTCACAGATATCTCTAAGTTCAGAGGAAGTTATGGTTAAAAACTTGCAAACTCCTGTCTCCAGTCTGAACATCAGTCTGATGGACCAAGACTGCCTATAAATGCCTTATATCATGTGATCAGTCTGGGGAAGAGCCTCACCAACATCTACTCACTTTTGACAAACACTATTATATTCTGAATGCATCACCATCCAGTCTAAGAAAAGCGTGGTTTTCAAAAACTTAAGGCACAATGGAGCAGAGAAGCTCTCTCTCATGTCACTTTGATTCATACTAAACTGCAGATCAAACAGAGATCCACTGAGATCAAGGGATAGCAATTGCACATTAGGCAGCTTGCATTAGCACACACTGGCACATGGCTGCAATTCTCCAGTGAGTAGCTGGTGTTAAGTGAGTTATTCACATCTACTGAGAGTTTGCAAGCTCTAAACAAGTGTTATTTCAGTGTACTTTCCAGCAGACAATTAAGTATTTACTGGCACTGAACTAACACACTATCTACCAAACCAAACCTTCTGCTTGTTCCTTTTTCAGGCCTAGAATCAGATGAGCAAGGACATCCACACTACAGACATGGCAGTGTGAAGCACAGCACCTTCAGGAGTTCATAATCCAAGCACGTTAACTTGAGTACAAGTTTTTAAACACAGTTTTCCCAAAACACTTGTATTAGCATATGCTGTTCATACCCACATCCTGAAAAGGAAGAATTAGTTTAACATATTTAAATACAGAAACAGATTAAATCCATGTTGCTATTCTGTTTTACACAGTACATACTTTATACATCACAAAAGGCTTTTACAAGTCAGAGATAGTTACAAATACATTACAAATGTCAAAGGCATCTCAGAAAAGTGACAGCAAAAAAGATGCAGCACCAAACCACCACATGTTTGGATTACTGTTCTACAGCAGATTACAGGCTCATGAGTGCTGTTGTTTTGTGACCTGGGCACAGAAAAGACCATGGCAAAAATGTTCATTATTTCTTGAGAATCAGACATGACCCCAGAAATCAAGTTTGATGAAGGCTACTCTGAGTAACTTTGCTCACTATGAAATGGCAGTTGTTGCAAAAACAGGTTTCAGGACTAAAAACATAGGCTACCTTTCATTAACAACTGAGAAACTTTACTTATAAACGTGGCATGACAGAAGTCTGAATTCTCAGGCAAAAGTTCCTACATATAAACTAAGAAAGAAGAGCTAGTGAAGTTATATGGTTTGTAATGAAAACATGCACTTTAATCTGCATGGATTTTTGAAATGCTAGAGGAAGTATGGCAGAATTATCTGTCACACTGCAAATAGCTCTGCAATGCAGTGCTGAGGCCTAGAGGTAAACATCACCTCTAGACTTGATTTTCAAAATAGAAACATCACCTATACCTGTGTAGGTGTGTGAGTGCTTTTATAAATGGCACATACACACAGAGGTATTGTGCACAGCTACAGAAGTGTGACTATATGAGTTCTGGGAAGCCATTTCCTCTCTCATGTTACCACGCGCTAGCTCTTCTAGCAAACACAGTAAGTGCAGAGTGTGTATATTCAAACTGCTTTCAGTTTAAGGAAATCCACCTTGGCACCATGCTCCCAACAAGCACATCCCATTTTCAGGCCACTAACACTGGGTGAAAGCCATTTTCCTTACACTGCGTACACTGAAAACATTTGGGTTCTCATAGCTCTGCAGCATCAAATTCAAAACAAACAGAAAATGAGGGATACTATTTTGGAAACACAGCTAGGACACAGAGATCCTTTTTGTTCTAATAGCTTTGAATCAAGTAAACACTACAGTCCACCAGGTGCCTTTTTTTCATGTATTACAGTATTTTTCCTAACACTGACAATGTTTTAAATGCCTGATAGAAGTTCCTCTGGGCATTTATACTGAGTTTGACTTTTTTTGGAATATTCTTTGGCTAAAAGGCTCACCTCAGCAATATGGACATTGTGTTATTTAAGATTTCATAAGCCTGAAATGAAATCCTAATGCCCAGTGCTCTGGTAACTTGGCTCATCGTGGAGTCCATGAGATGCCCAAGTCTGGTGTAGGAATACTGCAAGAGTGCTAGAGAAACCTCTGACCCAGAGAGGCAAGGGCCTGTGGCTGGAGAGTACTAACATAATTTGCCATTCACAAGTATTTCTGCAAATGTCCTCTTTGCCACTGCTACTGTAACAAGCCATGACCAACATGTTCATTGTGTTTATTGAGTGTTCACTGCTCAACACCAGTACCAATAAGCAATGCCATTTCAGCTCACTGAGAGGCTCTGAGAGTGCTCTTACACATCTGTCCCAGAGCAGCTGGAATCAGACCGATGCTAGATCGATGATCAAAACTTCCAAGAGTTTTTAGAGGTTTCATGGCATCACCATGCAAAGGAGGCTAATTTCCTTTCCTGTCACTGGTCCTCCTAAAAGTGTTTGCTTTAGTGTCACTGGTCCTCCTACAGATATCAAAGAAATATTTTATCTAAAGTTGCTTGATCTGGGCTTCACTGATAGATAGGTTTTGCTGATCAAAGTGATGATATCAGTATTTCTCAAGAGATGACCTTGAGGATTACTAGTTAAAGAAGTAAATACATCTTCATTGCCTGTTCAGCTTATGAAGTGTCTGTTGGCCTGCAGTTTTCTCTCTGAAATCTTCCTCATCTTCTTCATAATTAAGAAACTGTTCCTCAATCAGTTTTAGTGAAAAAAATCTGATCCCAAATGCATTTTCTTTGGATATAATTCAGAAACTGTTCCTCAATCAGTTTTAGTGAAAAAAAATCTGATCCCAAATGCATTTTCTTTGGATATGCCTCAACTTCACCTGCAAACCAGTGGTAGCAATCCAAGGAGACTCTTCCTCAAGGTACTTTCAAGGAAGGCTTCATCCTCATGAAAATTAGAGCAACACAAGCACTTTCCTGGGCTTTTTGATTCAGTGCAATGAATTTGGTTTTTCTTACCAAAACCCATCCAACTGTCTGTATTCAAGGGCAGCTTGCAGTGACAAGAGGGGCAGTTGAAAGAAAAAGTTTTCCCAGTTACGTAAGTGGAAGGCAGAACGTGATGTACACGTGACAGAAGGCTGCCCATAACATGTAAAAATGCCTTCAGGCTTGTAAAATAAAAGCACCATTGGAATGTTTCATCAACAAAGAAGCCAGCCAGGATATTTGGAGCAAAGGAAAAAATTTCTTCTGCCCTGAGATTAGTAGTCCAAATACTGATCAGGCAATACAGATGTTGTTATTTATCATTAAGACCAGAGCTGGGCTGATTAACAAGATGGTAAGAATTGTCACTGGCCCTTCACCTCAGGAGGCCTCATTCCCCTTCAGCCTGTACAAAGTCCTCCTAAACACTAAGATCCTATGTGCCCTCACAGCTGATTCCACACCCACAAATTCTGGGCACTCGTGTTAAACAAAAGTTTCCATTCAGACAAGCCTTGGACATGAGGTTTCTGTAGGCTTTGACCAAAGTCAAATGAGAAGCCTTATTCTAATTTCCATTCTCAAACTGATGGCTCTTTTCCAGGATCAAAGTATTTTCCCACACAGAGCCCATGCCTGTCATCCAAGTTCAATCAGCACTTTACCTACGTAAGGATTGCACAACAACTTTGCTGGCAATATTACTAATAAAATGGTGAAGTTACTGACTTACAGTGTCCTCACCAGTCATCACAGTACTGGCATTGCCATTGTGTTACTTTTCTGTGTGGTAATTAACTGCCTTTTGTAAAATTATTTCATCAAATCTTAAACAATTTCCAGAGGAAAATCAGAACTAACACCCTGCTACAGCAGGAAAGCCAAGTATCTCACACGAGGTTAGATGCTACTGCAGTCAAAATTACAGCTCAGTTATCTGAAATCTTCATCTGTGCCCTGCCCACTGATAAGCTCTGCTTGGGGAAGAAGCCATGAGTTGGCTGCATGTGCAGGAATCACCAACAGGTGCTCTCCTCACGCTGGGACCACATCCCATCCAGGTCTCCACATGGCACTGCTCCTACCCTGTGGCTTTTGTTCAGCATGGAAGACAAGTGTGTTCACCTTTCTCCCAGCACTGCTTGCAGGAAGTGAACCTTAAGCTGAGTGCAGGGTAAACACCCAAAAGTACTAACAATCTTTAAAACAAGACAAATATTTACCTGTAACACATTGCAGATCACCTTATTTTAAATCCACAGCTTGACAATAATTTTAACTGCACACACTCATGGCTACTATCAGCAGTTTAAATGGTTTCTGCCCTGAGAGGGAATCACAACATTTTGTCAATGCACACTTTAGTATCTACTGCATGTTCCCCATAGTACATCTCATCCTCCTTGTGATAACAGAGCTTATGTTTTAACTACAGATGTCATTTCATAAGGGACCATAAACTGCTTTATGCAAAACAGCATTTCTTTTGACTTTTTCTTATCTCACTAGCTACAAAACATGAGCTGTAGTTCAAATTGTGTCAGATTAGTTAAGTGTGCTCATTAAGTGTGTTTAAGTGTTGTCACAAGAAAACACAAAGTTATTAATAAAGCTGTAGTATTCAGTTTGAAAAGGTTTTTGGGCTAAATTACATTTTTTGTTCTGTTTTTCCCCAGTGCCTTAACACTATGTGGCTGAGACCTCCATGACCATCACACATAGTAAGTAGTAGCAATGGACAGACTACCACTAACAAAAGGATAATCTCAGTATAGACTGAAAATGTATATAATCAGTTCTGTTCTTGAACAGATGCATTGACTGCTATTACAGGATCAGATTTGCATGACTAATTGCCACGTGCACACAGCAGACACATGCCTTTGTCACTGACAGACATCACTAGTGTGAGGAAGTTTGCTTTATCTGCCTCTGCTCAAAGGTAAACCCCAGACAGAACAGCATGGCCACCACACACAGATATTACTGGCATTGTGGTAGAATTCAGTAACTCAGACTTGGGTGAAGAGGATATTGGCTGTGGGACTCCATTTCTTGGGGGAAAGAGTCCCTGCCTCCAGGAGCAGCTGAGCAACAGCATCATTGTTCCACCAAGTCAGCCACCCCTGTAAACAGGACTGCACCACCCAGGAGCCCTCAGTGCCATGGATGTTGTGCACTCTTGTCCCTTGCAGGAGCTGAGTTCATTGCACTGGTACTCTTAAGACCAGATTCTACTGAAAAACTATTTTTACACTTTTTACAAGCCTCTTGTGGTACTTCAATCAACTGAAGACAAAACTGATTCTTCTCCTTCTCCCCAGTAATCTCCACTGCTGTCCTCAGGTTGTCTCAGTATTTACAGGGCATGGTCTGCTTTGCATTTAGAAAACCACAGATCTTGAAGGCCACCATAATACCTTCCACAAGGGTAGAAAAAGATGCTTAAATGAATAATCTTGATATTAAAAAGGCACTACTTTTTTCCCCCAAGTTATATTGCCAGAAAAAACCACAGCAATATTTGTGTTCTTCAGAACATTTCACCTGTTTAGATTTGCTCTTGATAATCCAATTCACTATTGCATAATCAATTTATAAGTCTGTTAACTACAGTCCTGACAGATATAATGGCCAATGACTGCTTGTAAATCCTTAGCTGCACTGTTTCTTCTAAAGCTCCTGGTTTGTACTATGTTCTTAATAAAATCGTAGTACAGCAATGGTATGATGAAATAAAGATCACCTGTGCATTTGTTTTTAGTATCCTAAATTAGCTTAACTGTGTAATAATTTATTTGGAAAGTACTGGCACCAAAGGCAAATCCAAGTCACATGCAGGTTTAATAAGAAGAATTTTGATTCAGTAATCACTTGTCAGCCTGAGGGCACTTGCCCAAGTCTTACTAAGGTAGAGTTTGCTGCAAGTTTTGCCAGAGCTATGCAAGCCGTTGGAACAGACAGAAGGATGGACACCACACAGTGAGCACCTGCTCCCCACAGCCCACAGGGAACAGCAAACATCCAATTTTTCAGCTGCAGCAGATACTCTGTGCTTCCATTGCATGCAGCAATGATGACCCCTAATGGTGGAATGTTTCTGCTGCTGAGCAATATGAACAGATTTTGCTTTCCAATGCATATTTCTACTTAAAATAATTACAACTACCCCTCACAGTCCAACAGCAAAATAAACTGCTTGAGGTTCACCTGAACTGTAACACAGAAGCAGCTGCTTTGCCTGATCAATTCTGACTTTGGACATGGAAACATTAAAATGCAAATCCTTATTCCAGCATTAAGTCCAGAATTTTAAGTACCCCTTTTTTTTCCTGAGGGAGACTATCTTACAGAAGCAAGTTTCAGTTATAGTACTGTGAATAATCCCTACAGGAAGTCCTCAAAAAAGATAATGTTCCTTTTTCCCACAGAACCAATCACCTGTATGTGAGCAAGCAAACAGCTCACATGCCCAAACAGCTTCTTTGAAGCCTTCCTTCAGCTGCTGGATAATGCTGCACAAATGTGTGTGGCAGCACATTTGATACCCAGCAATCTTTTCATCAGAATCAAATAAAAGTAATTTTATTATTTCCAAAGTTATGAAATTGCATGTTGTTCTAGTATTAAGTCAACATTTCATGTGCATATAATGTAAAGTTCTCATATAATTTTTACAATCTGAAATTATTAAAATTTGGCTGGGATTTTTAAATCCCAGTTCATCTCAAAGCCTTTAACTCCTACTGGAAGTAGAAGGTAATTTTAAATTGTGTTACAGATGCCAGCTACATAAAACTAAGTCTTGCTTTTCTCTTGGGAGAGATGAGTATCACTACCTGTCCCATTTTAGCTTGCCTGACACTTGCATCGAGAGCAAGATAAAGAACAAGGTAACTATTACTCAGGCCTGACCTAATTGTGTCATTTTTTTCCAGGTAGAGATAAACACACAACACTTAAAAGAGAAGGGTTGAGAGCCCCTGGCAGCTTACTGATTTGTTTACTTTCTTTTAACAACATTATAACACTGAAGTTGTGCTAGCTTTCAGGCTACAAAGCACAAAGCCTTCACCTAAACAAAATACAAACCTAGAGATACTGCCAGACTGCTCGAGAAAAAGCACATTTTCACACCATGGTCTCCTTTTGTATGGTCATAGTAGATAAAGTCACACAAGTAAAAAAATATATGAAGACATGCTTCAGAATTGTGTGTGGGCTGAATTGACAGTTTTGTTTGGACAGTGAGGTATGTAAAATCAGGGCTTTTTTGAGTCTGATCACTGAACGTTTCATTACCTTTATGACAGGTTTTTTTGTTTTTTTTCCTCCTTTCTGAAGAGTGATAATTACTACAAATACTTCAGTGTCCTGGCTTACCTTTCTCACATCTGAGCTCTTTGGTTCTGTAGTCCAAGTTATAATTCTAGATACAGCAAGTCTTGTCTCACTGGAATTCACAAAGTCTGTTGGATCCATCTGTCTTGCCAAGGACTCAATATACTTCAGGATAGCAACTTTGACCTGGGAAATTAAAAAGGATATGTGAAGCTCAGGAGCTGGCAAAGATGCATTTTTTCCATAGGAACAGATCCCACTACAGACTGACAAAGACATCACATGGTGGGGAGGAAGTATTCCTGGAACATGTCTCCAAATTGCCAATATGCACATAATACAATAATTACCTTCTCAGGAGTTCTATGCTTTATGGCATGCCTGACATGACAAGTAAGACAAGCACATTGATGCTTTAGTGAAATGGCTTTTGATACTGACCTTCAGGTTTGGTGTCTGGGTCTGATCTACAATAAACCTCATCAAAATGTTAAATTGTTGATCAAATGGAAAAGAATCCCTGTCCAAAAGAAACAAAAGCAAAAATGTAATGCAACATAAATGAAATTAACTCAATACCTCAAAGCTTACATAGCAGATTTCAAAACACTTTTCTTCTTGGTAACTTTACCATCAATAAGAGAAACTCTGAGCTTAAGGATTAGGTAGTTATTGACACAACACTGGAGAAAACTGCTAAATCAGTGTATTTGCACACTGTTACTCTACTCGCTGTACACTTCTGTTGGCATGCCTGTCCATTTAATTTCAGACTCTGCTTTGTTCCCTTATCTCTAGAAGCAGCTTGGTTTATCTTGTCTTCAGGGTTCATACCTGGTTTTGATCTCTCTCCTCTTTTTTCCCCACTATTTTCTCCTAGATTATTACTAGTTTTTCTTTTCTTTTTAAATTATCCTATTTCTAGAATGAGCCAAACTTTATTGTAATAGTGTCCTGTGCTGAACATCCTTTGCAAAGGACATGGAGTATAGAACTGGTTGTGAGCACCAAGGTAGCATTCAAGGTCTTATCCTGATATTTGTGTCTGAACAAGATAAAAGAGGTGCTGAACTTTGTGGTAAAGCACCATTCATATTCTCAATACTGCAATTTTTTGGGTACCTGTCAATCAAAAAACCCTGATATCTGAGCATATTAGAAAGCCTTAAAATTAATCCATCATATATTTTTAAATTTATGCTTTAAAGTTATTTATTTAGAAGAGAGACAGGCCTTTTTAATTCAATACTTCAAATACTGTGACATAACTTTGTTCTCCTTTATTCTTATATTCATCAAGACTGAGCCCTCAAAATACACAGTACTGCTGGATTTCTAAAATCACACCTTCCTGTAATCCCAAAAAACCTCAGCAACATTTGCCATCTGAGTACTCTACCTGGTGACATCCAGAGCTTTTTGAACTTTTGCCTGCACAGACCCCAACAAATCTGCTCCCATTTTCTTTAGCAACTGAGTCAGGAGAACAAAAAGCCAATCCTGCAAGTCGTCTTTATGAATGATGATGAAATCCACCAGGGTTTCCAGAAACATACTGAAGACCTATAAACAAAACAAGTGTCAGAAAAAGAAATACAATTCTTAAAATAAAAATATTCAAATGGGAAGGGGGTTTACAGTCTGAATTTCAGGATGATTTTGTTATAAGAGTTTAATGAATGAATGATTTTAGTGACTACATTGCTCTGGAAAAAAAATCAGACAAGACATGTCTAAAAGGTGTTGTATTAAAATACCACATGTAACAAATGAATGAAGGAAGGAAGGAAGGAAGGGGTAGAAAACACTTACTCTCTGTTGTGAATTCCACGGCAAAGCAGGCCATGCAACAAAACAAACCACTCATTAGCACACGGAGTGATCAAGGATGCAATTTCTCAACAGATAAAAGACACATTCATTCAAAGTTAACATTTTCTTAAAACACAATCTCTTATTATATGCCTTGGATCAGATTCAGTCTCCTCAGTCAAGAAGTAACATATGTTTATATACAGTTCTACGAACAAAGCTATGTTTGTTGAACACCACAACTAATGAGTTTGTATCAGTAATTCTACAAAAGCAGCAGTGAAGATGACAGATCACTGCTGCCACAAAGGACATACTTGAGTCCAGTGTGCAATAGAGTCTGACCTCACTCAGAAATTGGAATTATTTTGCAAACAAATAATTAGATCTTCGCCCTTTCTACTACACAAAACTTGGGAAACCAAGCAGTAAGAACTTACAGGTAGGTACTACAAGCTTGGTGAGATCTGTGGGACAGCTGGTCCACCAGTATAATTAAGGTAAAAAATGCACATTTTGAGCAGGCTACTCTGCCTGCCCATGGAATTTGCACCCAACAATAATTTATTAACACATCCACCAGTATAATTAAGGCAAAAAATGCACATTTTGAGCAGGACCTATGACAGGCTACTCTGCCTGCCCATGGAATTTGCACCCAACAATAATTTATTAACACTGGTTTACCAAGAGGTCTTGAAGTACAAAGATTTATACAACTTATTCTTTCTCAAACTGCATTTAACCCAACTGCTGATGTTTTTACACAGCCATACTGGTTTTCCTCAGCTAGCAAAACTCAAAAAAGGGCATGAAATTCCATATTCCTTTCACCCTGCTTCTCCTTAGCTGTCATAGCAATCCACTAGTCTTGAACACGCTTACGGGCCCTACCTCCCCATTCTGTGGCCCACTTCCTCTTAAGAAATGTCTGTAAATTCATGCCACAGCCTTTAACTTCAAAGGTCAGTGTTTTAAGGAAGGCAAAGTAGCTATATCAAAGACCTTGATTATGAGAATCAGAATAGTATCTTGGTGAGACACCTGCTCCCAGGTGTACACAACACACAAACCCCAGTGGCTGTGATGCTCATGACCCCTCGTGGACCACTCTTCCCTGTGTATCACCAGAAATACACCCTAGAGAAGTGCAAATCAAACTGAACTCCTGGCTCCAGGAGGTGACCTCTGAAAGGCATTAGGCTGCTCCTCAGGCAGCACGGAGTAACCAGCTCCTAGCAACATAAAAGAGACTGAGACATATCCCCTCCTTGTAAAACAAATGCAAACCGAGGAGATTTTTAAATGCCAGTTTTCCCCAGCAGATGGCAGGGGCAGAAATACAAACCACTTATCTTGGAACAGTGCCAAATGTGCACACACAGTAATGTAGGAGAGCAAGCCAAGGCTTTGTGATCTTACCTTGCTGTGAGGGTCAGCAAACATGCGAGTAAATATTTCACACAGCCTTTTTAACTCGACTCGGCTAAAATACATAAATAAAACACCACATTAATGCCAAAGTTTTAGTTGCAGGGGAAAAAAAGGCAGCTAATAAATATTAACAGCTGAAAGATCTAACCTTCTTTATTTAAATGTTACTTAGGTCACATTTCTGAAAACTTTGTATATCTAGGCAAAGCCTTTACTGGTACTTCAGTTTAACTGCTGGGATCACCAGTTTTACACTAAAAAGCTAATAAACATTTATTTTTTTAAATCTTGAACCAGACAATTTTATTTTCTGCTGCTTTTATTTTCTTCTACATTCTGGATTCCAGAAGACAACTTGAAATGTGCACATTTGCAAGGCACTTAGTTTCTGTCTGGGTCAAGGTTGCTGAATCACTGAATCATGCATTTCTTTCTCCTTAAAAATAGGTTCTTCAAGTCTCCTGTGTGTCAAGATTTTCAAATTTTCAAGTAAAATCAGAACTTTCTGGTTATATACTAATCACGTATTTTGGTTTAAATTCCCAGTTGCTTCAGTAGTATCGGTCTAAAATCACAGATTATTAACACATCAGAACTGACTCCAAAGTCTGACAGCAGGCAGGCACATTGAGGAGCCAAACATATAGAAATGGAAGAGACATTAACAAATGGCCAACTATTACAGCAGATAATTACATCAAGGAACTATCTAACTTCCTATTTGTAAGAGATTATTAGCTGCTCAGTAGTGCTCTTTTTATGGCAGGGGGGAAGAAGAATGATGCATGAGATACTGAGTTGGAGTAAAATGCAGAACTCTTTGGTGCCAAATCTCTTATCTGCAATGTATTGAGAAGTCTTAGCTTTCCTGCAAAGCAAACTGGCAAAAAATACAGAAGCTCTTCTTGTTTATGGTGCAAACAAAACCTGAGCAAGGCAGTTAGGTTACATTTCCTGCATACTATGGATGCAAATAAACATTTTTCACAATTATAATGAAACCAGAGCAACTAGTGAAATGAACACTGACTGCTCAGAGAAGAGTTATTGAAGATTTTGACTACAGGGAATTCATTTCCAGAACAACATTAATTGTACAATCCACCAACTTCTCTGTTTCTAAAAATAATCTTTGAACAGGCCAGAATAAGGCAGTAGTCTACAGATGCTTTATGTTAGATTGTTTCTAAGTAACACAGGATTTTTTTTCCCCCAATAAATCTATGCATTAAAGGCTGATTAAGTTTTAAAAGGGCACAAAACCAATGGGTTTAAGAGTCTGGTAGGGAGGGAAAAGTCTTTGTAACAACATCACAGTAAACTGTCAGCTTAATTCAGGGTGAGGCTGCACAGGCTCAAAATTACTACAGCATTCTCCTGACATCATGCAGACTGCAGATCTCTGAATGAACCCCTCTTTATTACTCTAATGGATTTTCTTTCTGGACAAAGGTTATATAAAGTCAGCAAGTATATGTGTGACTGTTTCTAAAAACTCACAGACCCAAGGTAACAATGCAAGTACTGAATTGCAACAGGCAGTGGAAGAACATTTCCTTAAGGGACTCGTTTGCCTTGTTTTATTTAGGAGAGCTTATGGGGAGCCCTTCAAAAAGTAGGCCACATGAAGCTGTATGATACAAAGAGGATGGGTAAGTGCCATTCCACTTTGCATGCACATCTCTGGACATGCAAATCCCAGCTAACAGAGGATCAGCCATCTTTCAGTTCAGAATACTAAAGAAAACCCAACCACATCACTGCCTCTTATTAATGTGTTTCACCACAACAGAAGGCAACAGGTTTAATTACAAGACAGACTTGCCCCTTGGACTAATGACCTTGATGATGTTCTCAAGATGCCGTGGGAACAAGCAGGATGATAAAATCTAATCATTAGAACAGGCACCAGATCAACTCTGAACCAAGGAGGAAGCAGATCAAAAGAAAATCCAAAATGAAATACAGAGAACTAATCACAGTACTGAATCTGAAAAAAAACAACTGCACAGAAGTGTAGTTTCTGGGACAGATTTAAAAATTATTCAGGATCAAAGCTAAGACAACTTGCTGGCTTGAGGGACTGGTGACAGCACAGTTCAAACACTATAACCAGCAGGGCTGATAATCAAGAGTTTAATTCCACCAGTATTTCTGCTAAGATCTACTGACCTGGATAAACAGCTCATCACCAAAACTTCTCAGTGCTTCGTCCCATGCAACTATCCCCAACAGCAGTCCAAACCTTGCTTATAATCCTCACACACTTTTGTGGCAAAACCAAAATCTCACCCAACTTTTTCATACAAGTAATGAGGTGCCACAGTTTTTCCACGCAGTTTGTTAAAGAGAAAGAAAAAAGACAGCATACATGGTGGAAGTATCGGTGGAAGTATCTTTTAATAGACCACATCAAAAAGCATCTCTGATCTTGAGACTCTAACTACCCATTTTCAAAACCTGTAGCACTTCCCATTTAAGGCCTGTATCACATCATGTGAAGTGGTAGAAAATTTTTATAATGGCAAGAAACCAATTTTTTCAGGCCTGCTCTCAGTACACTTTTATTCAGAATGTTAACATGAACCATGAAATTCTTTTCAGCCAGTGTGAAGCCCTTTTAAAATAGAAACAATTGCACAAACCCAAGTAGGGAGGCTCTAAACAACCACTTATAAACTTGGCCATAATTTAAGTACATATGATTCACAACAGAAAAATAAAATTGTCACAGCTATTTGTGAATGTTACCTTCAATGGAGCCAAGAGATAAACAGCTTATTTCAAACACTTTCTCCATAAACTAAGGGTGAAATGTCTATGGCCTGAGAGCCAGCTGTCTAGTTAATGTGACCTGTGGCCATAGGGAGTTTCCAAATGACTTTTGGATAATTCTGAGACCTACTGGGTAATTCTAAAACCACTTTACAAGCGTGATGTGCCAAAGGTGTTTGAAGGGGTTACATGGTTCTCAGCAAGGGAAAAAGGTCTCCTCTCCTACCATATGAAGTTTCAGAGTTGGCACACATACTTCACAGCCCTAAGAAATTTCCCTCTACATTACAAACTACACCATTTATAAGACAAAAGTTTCTGATATAAAATTTTTCAAGAGTTACAAACAGGATCTGTAATTACACCTAACACAGCCTTCATGAAGAGTCGAAGTACAGCCAGCACCAGCACTGTCTGATTTCAGCTTTGAAACACACACCCCGAGTCATTTTACAGTAAGTGCAATGCTTGCTTCACCAACTAAATTGCCATGGGAAAAAATATTGAAGGTTCAAACAGACTAACGTAAAAATGGCACCACCCTTTGAGTATGTTTACAACAGCACCACTGTGGGAAATCTCACTGTGCTACAACAAACACCTACCACTGGAGGTCTTCGTGAGAGGGATGAAAGCTAAGAGAAGACAGCATGCTTGCACCTGAGCCCTTTCTACACTACTGCCACAAATTATACTGATGACACGGCAAAAACCTCCCTTAAAGTTAACTGCAATCCCACATTGTGGAGACAAAGCCTTCACAGCCATGGAGGACACTACCTGTCTCCATAAGGCAGGTACATAATACTGCCTTCTGGCTGCAGTCATCCCTAATGAATTATTGACACCAGAAAACCATGAAGTCACCTCAGTGTCCGCTGGCTTTTCAGTAAATTCTGAAGACCTATGAGCCCTTCTTTCCTTTCAGACCAGTTGGAGCTGGCGCAGTGGTTCAGGACCTCAGCCACATCTTCAGTCTGCCGCAGGTAGTGCGGAATGCCCCCGTTCCTGGAGCCGTAGGAGCGCTCCGAGCAAGCGCTGGAAGCGTCGCTGTTGGCATCGTCATCGGAGTACATCCCGTAGGGCTCATACCTCCTTCTCACCGGCTTTTTCTGGAAAAGGGGAAACTCCGACTTATCAAGTCATATATAGTTACACTGATGCCAAAAGAAAGACATTCTATTTGGAATCACTAAAAACAAGATTAGTGCTACTGTTATAGTGACTGAAGTGTTTTAAAGATGTCACCATGCATTGCCTGCTTACCTCTCAGAGCAGTGCAAGACAGAGCCCACTGATTTCAATGGGACTGAGTGACTCAGGGGAAGAGAGCCTGCCTTCCCCAGCATGAAAATGATGCATTTATGCCCAGTAGAATTAAGCCACTGGTAATGAAATTACATACAATAAATGTTCTACTGGCAATAATGGTCATTTTCATTGTTACAGAACTATGATGATACAACTTCCACTTTAACAAAAAATAAAGATAAGGAAGAAATAGCTGAAAGAATCTGTGCTGGCATGCCCCAGTCACTTTGATATCAATACTCAAGTGACTCTAGAAATGCACTGGATATGGGAGATGGCAATTTCTCTGTTAGTTTGGGCTAGGATTCTTTCCAGAAGCTGCTAAGGGAGTTGAGTACTCAAATCCCACTCATTTCCATAGCATGGCATTACAGGACCTAATTCCCTCAGGTACATCTTTGACTGCCTTGATCCTTACAGAAAGAATAGTAGCATAATTGGCAGCAAAAAACCCTCCTAAATAAACCTTAAAAGAAGAGAGTTGACAAGATAATGTATGAAAAAAATATCATCTATATTCTAAAGTGTTTGCTACAGAATTCCTTCCAGTGTCCAGTCCTGCAGGTCCTGGACTTGTGAAGCCAGCAGAGTTTTGCTTCAACTAGGACTGGAGGATTGAAGCATAGAAATTAACTCACATGCAGTATCATGGGCATTAGCAACAGGGTGGGGAGAGTTGGAAAGTAGAAATAAAAAGTCAAGAAAGCACTAGTACCTTGCTCCTGGAGTCTCCTAACAGCTGTAGGCAGGAAAATATTGAAGGGTGGGAAAAAGCATAGAGAATTATGTCAGAAGCTTATGTAGGGTTTGTTTTTGCAACAAAAATGTATAGCAAATGTGTCTTAGCAAATTAAAAAAAATACAGTTTTTGCAAACTTTATCTCCTAACTGTTGCACTACTCATACTGGTTTACAATTTCCCTTAATACAGTTTTTGCAAAATAAAAGTGGGTATAATAATGCCTGACTTTATCTCCTAACTGTTGCACTACTCATACTGGTTTACAATTTCCCTTAGGGACCTCGGAAGTGAGAATAAACTGTTAAAAACTTTTTTAGGGAACAGATCTATATTCAACACCTCTTTTCTTACTTTAAAAAAATCTACAATTAAAGATACCAGAGATTTTGGTAGTGATTTCACTTTCCCCACATATTACTAGCAGCGTTTCATTTTAGAGTCTTGCAAAGAAATTCTGATGTGAGGAAGCCGCTATCTACAGTACAGCACACTTAATAAACTTCACTTGCCAAGTTCTCTTTCAACCCACAGTTCTTACACCACACTGTTTTGAAGATTAGCTTCTTCTAAGACCCCCTGGTTGGCACCACTGGCTTAAAGGCCTTACTTAACAGCAAAGTTTCCATCACCCTTTGAGCTCTTCTGACAGACCTGAGCACTAATCCCAGTATTGACACTGTGGGTTTAGGCCAGGTCCAGCTCAAACAGAAGCAGTGGATCCAGCTGGAATTGTACAGAGGTCACAGAATGACCCACCATGTTTTGTTTCAATTGAGGATTTGGCTGAAGCCATCATTGGAGAAGTTCTTTTCATTTCTTACAACATGGAAAAGACAACTCTCTGAAAACAAGGTTACTGGGAAAAAGCTGGCATCACAACACTCTCTCAAAAGGAGCCTGCACAGGCTTTCTAAGTTGCCTGTTGTCAGAAGGCAATGAAGAGAAAACTGGGGTGGTGGGAAAGAAGGGATCAACAAGATTGTGTTGCATCTCCTGAAGCCGTACAAATTCAGATTGATGAACCAAGTCAGCAGCACCAGCTAGTTTCCAGCTAGACTTAAGTATTTCCTTTTTAAGTGTTCAACCCTTCAAAATTTTAACATTTCAGTTTAATATTACTTAACATCAAAGCTGGAATATTTAAAAGAGCACTCTAAGTCTTGTTGAAGATTAAGTCACACCCAAAGAAATCTCAGGGCTCAGCAGTCAAATACTGTGACACTCTCCTCCTTTAAGAAACCTGTATTCAGCAGCTGCTCACATGCAGGGATAAAGCCTGATTTCATTTACACAGGCAAACCATTGTCTGTAATTATGTCCTGAACTGCTGTGGTAGCAAATTTGAGGTGGTGAGAGCAGAAATGGGCTCACAAGCTGTTACATTTGGTGATGAAAATGCTCACTAGTGATTCAGCCCACTAAATGCAACAGTGCCATCCATTATACACTGCTCTACCTTACTTGGTTCACAAATACTTTCTTTGTTTTGAAAGATAAATTTTGTATAAAGGGACATTTTTCTAGAAGTACTGTAACAGGTGCCATGAGCAGGGTGGTAATCAGACATAAAAAGGAAAATGTTAGCCATCCTTGGGGAAAGTGAACTAGGAAATGGAGAAAGGCCATCTACCACAAACACTGGTGACATGGTTCATCTTCCTTAAAGTGCATCTCAGACAGATTCTGAGAGATCTGCTTCAAGATACATCAGGAAATCCTTCCCTCATTCAGGTCATTGGAGAAGACCAATGGGTACCCAGCTAGCACTGGTATATATATAGCACTACTACAATAATTTCTCCTGCCTCTTACACATCCTTGCTCCCCCAAATATTCGAAGTACATAAAAAGGCTTATCATGTGCCTTCTGAAAAGCTGGGTTCTATCCAAGAGATACCATAGTACAATAAGATTATACAGGACAGCAACATTTTTTAAAATTACATAAAATTTACTAGGAAAAGCAGTGAATGTTTGAAAGTATTAGCAGCAAACTAGACAAATACAATTCAACTTACACCGTAACAGCATGAGATGGTACAGATTCCATGCAAGCCAAGTTATGAGCTCTCTGAGTATCTACCCAGGTGCAAATAACACAGGGCAGAAACTTGTTCTTGCTGAAACCTGATCAGGAATTGACACTAACAGACAATACCATTTTTCTAACAAAATCTTCATGCAGGTAATAGGACTGATGGAAATCTCTGACCCCATGAGTGCCGAGCACTCTCACAGTGCTGGGCACATCCTCTGACAGCCAAGTGAAAGGCAAACAGCTGATCCAACCCATCCTGCAGCAGCTGTAGTACCAAGCCACAGCACTCTGTCTGACAACAGCTGCAGAGAACTGACATGGAATCAGGAAAAACATACTGCTGCCAGTATACCCAAAGTCCAAACAGCAAAAGGTAACTCTACAGCATCAGCCACTGGCACGATCAGAATAAAGCTATTTAGAAAGAGGAGAACATACGTACAGGTAACTTTAAGCCACTTTCCGGTGTTGGAAGCATTTTGTATTTTTCCTCTTACCAGTGCATCGGCCACAGCAGCCTCCAGATCTGTGCTGGTGCTCAGGACTCGCATGGCATTCACAGAAGCAGGCATCCTGCCTGGCTGTCCGAGTCCAAACCGGTCTGCACAAAAGACAACAGTGAAAGGGACTGTTAAATGAATTCACATTCATTTGGAATCCTAATCAGGTGCCCGAGTAGCTCTCCCCACGGACTCTGGGAACTCACAGTGCTTTTCCATTAAAGGCCCTTTTACCCAGAGCTCCACAGAGTCTGCCATTAGGGTGAGAAATAAACTATTGTTTGTTGGGCGTTGGAGGCAATTTTAGATCCTCAGGGCAACTTTTCATTTATTTATTTTAAGCTGGGAAGCAGGGGATCTATTTTCTGTTTCTTTTTACTCAGTTGTCTCAAAGTTTTATTTTAATGTCAGAGGCAGACGTGCCCATCCCAATCTGGCACTCTCAAAAATCAAGAGAGCTTCTCATTAACATCAGAGAGACAGAACCATGCCCAGTGTCAGAACATGTAAATACTCGAGCACTCATCTGTCCTGCAGCCTTTTCTCTCAGGCAAGGATGTGAGACTAGCAGCACCAGATCAGTCTATTTTATGTCTCAAGACTTGATTAACCAGTAGAATACACCCCTACACCTTCACAGTATAAAAATTAAGTTAATAACTGACTTGTGAAGTGATTCAAATTTCTGGTTCTCTTGAGAAGAAGTTTAAATTCCAGAGCTCTATATCAAAACTGGTTTTGAGCAGACAATATCATCTTTTTTCCCTTTGAATTTGATGGCAAAGCTCTCAATGGCATCCAAAGCAATGGCATTGAGTCTAAAATGCCATTTACACTCCTAACGTTAATCAGTTTACTTTATCATTTGCCCAGTTACCAAAAAAGTTACTGAAATTAGGGTTTTTTAGCCAAATTCAGAAAGGTCCACTAGCAGAACTATGACAGAATCAGTAACTTAAGTATCACAGGCCAGATTCTGGCAGCTGAGTCCTTCTAGAGGGGGGCAGATCAGATACCAGATACTGGGATCCTTGCTCTGGTCCATAAGCAGAAAGATTGGTTACGATATTCCAAGCTTTTCTTTCTTTGTGGGTTTGCTCATGGAAGACTTAGACTATCCCTCCTGGAATGTATGTTACACCTCTGTGCCTGTACCCACACATGCCAACAGGAGTTTTGCCAGCAAATTCAGCGGTGCACGGATCAAGCTGCACAAACCCATTTAAGAGACCTTCAGCTGATCCACATCAAGCAGCAGGAGAGAGGGGTCAAGTCACACAGGTCTTTTAATAGTTCATCTATATTTAATTTAACAGTGGAAAAATACTGCTTGTCAAATTGCTGAAGCATATTGTGGATTTGCTCAAAACTGAGGCCAAACATGGTATTCAGCAGCTTAAGGTGTTTTTGGGGAAAACACTGCGTATCACAAAATTTCACTGCTTTCTCCTTTATGAACCCACTGTACTGAAATTTTTTTTATTGATTAGCTCACACTGACATGCATAATTTATATCAGAGATTCAAGCTGGCCAGTTCTACTGTCCTAATTACACAGCTTTATTTGAGATTAAGCTACTGTGGGGAAACAGGGAAGACTTTTAAAGTCCAAAGTATTTTGAAAAGGAAAAAAACCCTGCAGACTAATATTTATTTCAAACAGAAGTGATACCTATGAAAATTTACTGTTTCTTAGCGTTACATACCCAGACAAGACATTTCTGATTTACAACAAAAGCACATTTTCTACAAAACACATTACAAGGGGAAAAAAAAAGAAACAAACTTCTTAGAACTACTGCCAAAAAGTAATCAAATCATGACATTTCACAAAGAAATAAAAGTTGTATGTGTTATTACTATCCCCTTTTTTAATGCACTTGGGTTGAAAAGTAAGTTCAAATATGGAGATGAAGTAGTATTTTATTCCTAAAATGGAAAAATCTGTGCACTCTTAACAGAAGCACAGAGATGATAATGCAGTAGTCTGACTGAAACTAAAGTCACCACTACAGAGATATATACACTATAAAGTTACAGAGGACAAGGATTTTCCTAAATATAAATGAGATCTGGTACAGTACAAGGGCTGTAACTGTTGAGATAAGTTCTGGACTTGGTATTATATTTAAATCCAAACCAACTGCATTACTCAAGTGTTACTGAGATCAAAATTTGGCTTTAACTTTTGAAACTACACAGCATGAAAATACTACTGTCATTTGTTTTCTAATAAATTTAGTATTACATTAGAAAAGGGAAGATAGTTGGTTGTTTGTTTTTTTTTTTTAAATGAAAAACAAAATGACAAAGTAATTCAATTGTAGATCAGTTTAAGTACCCAGCATAAAGAAACAAAATTGAGCTTTTTTTAACACATTAAATACAGTGTGGCATGCTGGCTTCTATCTCCATGGCTATCAGCAATCTTCTGAACTCCTTTGTTCAGTGATTTTTATGTTTACAACACCCAAGTTACTCTGGGCTTCTCCCCAAGACACTGCTGCCATCCTGGAGTGCTGAAATAAGACCACAGGAGAGACCTCAGTGTATCTCTGATGTGGGGCTGGGAACATTCCTGGCTCCAGGAATAACCAGTACAGTCAAGCCCAATGTTACTGGGCAAGAAATCTGCAGATTATGCTCTGGCCACATTCCCTCATCTCCCTGGCTAGATTAATTCCTTATACTTGTTACACACTTAGTGAAAAGCTGCAGCCACCATCATTAATCCTATTTTGCCATTTTTTAGAACATTTTGGCGTTCTGTAGTACACAGGTAATCATACAAAATCTGATTATGCTTTGTACCAAAGCACAGGAGGCAAACATGAAGTGACTATCATAGGAAGCCAAAAACAAACAAAACTTAAATCTGTATTACAAGTGAGCTGTTTTAAATATTTTTAATTATTTTGGTTAAATGCAAATTCAAATTGTTATCTGAAAATTGCCAGTCAAATCAGCTTGCATAATTTCTGTTGAGTAACATAAGGGAAATGTTTTGAGAGTTTTAGTTAAGTGGTAGCCTTTTAACTAGACTCATGAGAAACAGGTATTTTTCACTCGCTATCTGAAGGGTTAATTAAATAACTTTCAGTATAACAAATTCCTTATAAGATTTTAGCCTCCTAGAAAACACTGAACTCCTCATCTTCTACATTATCTTTGTCCCCACAACTAAGTCTCTGTTGTCCCAAAGCTAACCCTCATTCAATTATTTTTAAGATTCCCAGTAAAATATCCTTATTTCAAAAGGAATTATGGGTTCTCCATAACTGCAAACCCAGTACAGGGGTAGGACAAAAGTAACTGGAATCTGCAGATTTTTCTCATTACATGTAACCATCAGTCACATTATGCAAAGCCCAGTGAAATTAAGGGATTTTTTTTTTTTCTTTCAAAAGCTTCCATGTATTTTGGACAAGGCCTTCAGAATTATAAGAAGGATGGATCAGCATGAGTTATGCCCCAAAGTTCATTCTGAAAGCTCATCAGGTGCTTAACTTTTGCTGCTGCTGTGTATTTTGGAGGAGATCTCACAAAGAACTTTCACTAACAGAGACAGGAGTCCAGAATATTTAGTAATAAATGGGATGAAACCCATTGGGATCCTGTCCTAGGCACTGGAAAGTGCTGCACTGCTAAAGAAGAAAAATAATTTGCAAGTACTCTGCATCAGTCAGGATTTAGCCCATGCTGCACAACTGATCCAATTTACAGGAAAATTGAGAAAGCCCTGGATCACCCTTTGTTGAAACACTGTTCACAATGTTCCTAAAATACACAAAATTAAAAACATCCAATAAATGAAACTCAAAACAAAAAGCCACGTTGAACAAAACCAGAACAGAAAGGCCCGCAGCGGTGAGAAGCACATGCCAAGTGCTGGCTGATGCACACGATGGCAAATGTTAAGATGGTGTAAAACAAGACTACGGATAAGAAGCGGATTCATGCAGTTAACGCTTGTTCACCTGACTGCCCAACAGAATCAGCAGTGGAGAGAGCACTAGTGGACCTGGAATGACGTCGAGAAGCTGCAAGTAGAAGGAATGGCAACACCCACAGGATTAACACACATTGAACCCGAGACAGAAAATGCCACAATCCGAAGGGGATGCGTGTGACCGCTACCGCAGAGGTGTTTCATAGTGACAGGGAATGGCGCTGCATGTGGATGCGGAACAGCTACAGTGCGAGCCCCGCTGCGACGCCTCGCCCGCAGCTTCCCCCCTTCCCCCGTGACCATTAACACAATGCATGACAAAACTCATTTGGAACAGTCCCAGACTGGGTGCAGCTCAGCAAAAACACCCCGATGCACATCAGTCACGTTCCAGACCTGCAGGTCTGGCAGGCGGCCGTCACGAGAACGTGGAGCACATAACTACAGAGCAGGGTTTAGATGTGTCTGATCTAAACCCCAAAGTGAAGCCATGAGGAATGGTTACGAATTGTGCTTGCAGGTATTTTTCCACAACATTCTAGCCTATGCATAATAAAATCAACGTTAACAAAGAGAATGCGTAACCACATAAGTAGGAAGAGTCATACAGGGAGGTCACCAACCACTGTACAGGTCCTCGGGTTGGTTTCTTTTCCAAATGAACACACGTACACACATATTCAGGTGTTGCTACTTCCAAAGGTCCCTTGCTTTTAACAAATTTTGCATACACGTTTCTTGAACCTCAGTATGTACATGCAGAGCTAAGGAGAATATGCACATCACACACCCATCTAGAACGACACATGTATACAAATTGTTAAAAGCAATGGAGCGCACACAGTAGCAGAGGAGCCTAAGCCAAATATAGCTCCCACTTCAATTCCCAGTTGTTAGCAGCACATCAATCACAAAATGCCTTTGGAGAGGTTTTCAGTTCTTGGCTTCAACATACAAGTGAGTTCTTTATGAAAGCAAATGAAAAACGGGCCCAGTCATTCCCAAATTACAGAAATTTTGTCTTTCTAAAGAAGTTTTCCCTATGTCTAGCAACAACATGCTCATCAGCTCAAAGCAACTGACCCAAGAAACCGATTGTTCATTTAAGCAATTCATCACCACAGACTCACTGAAGGCCTTGCTGCTTTAACA